AAGTGCCAGCCGCGAGGACACTCCTCGCCGTCAGCGGCATTGGGACATCCATCATTGTTGTATGCCCAACACAGCCTCTTCCCTTCGTTGGTCTCGCTGGCTTTACCGACTAGCTGCTTCGGCATTTTGATGAATTTGGCCCCTTTGACTCCTGGCTGATCCTTGCCTTTGCCCTTTCCTTTGCCCTTGCCATTCTTTTTCCACTTGGTCGAATCATCGGTCTTTTTGGCATCATCTGTCCACTTCCGCTTGTTATCATCGATTTCTCCACCTTTCAACGGCAACAAGTGGAAGCTGATGCTGGGATCCTGAGGAATGTTCTCTAGGGCTCGATCCAGAGGCAAAGCCCCATGAAGAAACGGATGCACTTTTCCACTACACTTTGGGCCTCGCGATCAACCGTGCAAACGGAATCACACATGTACTCATGCCATGCGGAAAACGTTCAAAAGCACTACGCTAAGGTAGGGTAAAACAGGGTACGTTGGGGCAAAACAAAGTTCATCACCCCGCCCGATAGACCATGTACTCCGACATTGGTCAATCGTCTGAACTTCTGTGGCCAACAGGACTGCTTGTACGCATGCCAAAACAATCCAAACAACGACGTACACTCCTAGGTGCTTTACCACGTACGTGGCCACAGGTACCCTTGTGAAAGCAAACTCCACGTGTCGTTACGAACACTTCTTCCGGCACCTGTACAACTAAGGCCGCTGGGTTTTCCAGAACTCTACCTCCATGGGCCGCTAAAGGACCCTCATGTGGCCTCGAATGGACCACAACGCATTGGGCTCTCAATTTTCTGTTCTCGTTCCACAGAGCACCGCATGTGATCATCAATGCCAAGCTCGCGTACTGCTCAGCACTCACGCCCTGCATGAAGCCGATAAGCATAAAGGCAAATGCAAAGCATTGCATAACATAGCCATTTACATCCAAAGCTTGCGGTGCATACTGAAAATCAATGCTCAAGCGCAAAGTCGAAAAGTCGTTCAGGCCCAAGGCCCGTGCAGCGAAAAGCGCCACCAAAAGAACCATGCAAAGTGGAAACATGTAGCTTGCATATCCCACACTCACCGTAGGGGTAGAAAGCTTTGTCGCATCAGTCAACAGCGGCATCAAGTTGCACATGACCATGAAGATGTTCGAATGAAGCTTTGTTGAAGTATTCACGTTCTTCTTCACTCTCTTTATCTGTGCCTTCACATACTCTTACTGTTGCATCTGCTCATACTCAAACTTCCCAATTCTCTCATCGCTCGAAGCATCAATGAAGTTATGCACGTACATCAGCGAACGCAACCTGGCTTTTGCCAGAGCCTTGGTCCCAATGTCGCCAAGGTTGTATGCCGAGCTCACCGGCATCACTTTAAAGACCTGACGCTTCACATAATCCTGAACCCACAGCAATCTGCCAGCGATGTGCTTCGCCTGCTTTGCCGCACCTTGGCGCTTAGCCAGTGCCCTAGCAGATTGATTGTCAAGCAACACGTGCATCACTGAAGATTGGCCTGAGATGAACTCCCAGACTTCTCGAATGAATAATGCATCGCAGCATCCGGACACACAGGCATACCACTCGCTCTCCATCGAGGAGAGGGACACCGATCGCTGAGTCCTAGTGGCAAAGTAAACCACCGCACCATTGATGCAATGGGTGGCTGACCCAATTGATTTGCGATCGGCCTTACTGCCGCTCCAATCGGCATCCGTGAAGGACTCCACCAGATCGCTACCTGCGCTGACACATCCATGCAACATAGAGGTCCCAGGCTCACCGGGTTCAAGATGCAGTGCATATGAGGATGTGGCCAGCATGTACTGAGTCAATCGAATTGCAGCACGCCATGCCAAAGCAGTCGGACGTGTCATCACAGCAGAGAGCTTTCTGACGCTGTGTGCAATGTCTGGCCTGTCGGCCGAAATATAAAGCGCAATACCAATCACTGATCTGTACTTGGATGCTTGCTGCTCGGACAACACCTGTGACGTGTCATGCCCACTGAACTCTGCAAGGTCTGGGGTTTGAGCCGTTCCACCACGAATTAAGGATCTTTGCCATGCTTCTCGCATACTGATCACTGATCGCAATCTTCATGCCGGTCTCAGTCAGCGTGTGCACTCGTTTGAGGAAGCTGATTTGATCACCGACGCGGTACGCAATCTCCACTGTAGCCTGGAATCGTGATTTTATCAGCGGTACCAGAGTATCATGCAACCATGTCAAAGGACACAGAACCAAATTATCATCCACGTGTAGCATCAAAGGCCCTTCCTTAGTTTTCATCACCGCTGGACTCACCGTACACGTCTCCAGGGTAAGACCTTCATGAAGGAAGTTGACATAAAAGTCAAACCACCGCTGTGCACCGTCCCGTTGACCGGGTATACAACGAAGGAATATGTACCGACCACTACCGGAATAGTCCCGAGGTAAATCTGCTAACACCGGTTCCACTTGTGGTACTTCTAGATACGCGTCTTTAATGTCGATGGCAGCCAGCGCAAAGACGGTGCCAGGGCGCGTCATGCGCCACATGAGAAACAAAAGTGGGATAAGTCTAACCACCGAATTCGAAGTCGATGGAGAAAAGAGACCTTCACGCGTGGCCTCAAGCCACCTATCTTCCCTGGCAACCAATCTTGATCTTCGCAACCACATTGCCTTGCCACCCTTGCGTTTGCTACGCCAACTGCGCACCATCTTGGTGCTTAATCGTTTCATGCCCTGGGTCTCTTCATCGCCGCGGACCGGCCGAATCACTTGCTTCTGCGACAACCTTGAAATCTCAACCTCATCGGCTATGCTGTCAATCTTGCAAAGCTCAAGATCACTAAGCTTCGGCGGTCCGGTCCCGTCATCCGGGTACCACAACAGCTCCTGTAGCTGCTCATAATCACTCAGAGGGCCCTGTACGTTCGGAGCCGCGGTGCCCTCACTCACAACGTCCTCACCTGCCGTTGCGACTTCACTCTCGATTTCTGCTTCGATTTGTTCACATAGCTCACCACACTCAAGCTCAGGATACTCAAGGCTCACATCTTCATCATGATAATCAAGGCTGTGGCTGCCAAACTGCACTGCTCTGATACCTATGCGCTTCCGATCACCACCTGCCTCCGGAGGTCCATCACGACTCCCCGCCGAACCCTGAGCCGTATCGCCCAGTGGCGGAAGCATCGCCTCAGGAGTACGAAGCATCTCGACATCGATCTGCCCAAGGGCCGGGTTCGGCCCCGCCGACAAAGGAACCACAGGGTTCTCAGCCAATACCGCACCATCCGGCGGCACGCTGGGCTGCACACTGACTGCTGCGCCTTCGACTGAAGGCTCTGACGGCCCTGGACCCACAGGCCCAGGAGAGGAAACCACATCACCTGGCACGGGTGTTGGCGGATCTGAAGCCGCCTCGTCCGGCACTTGTGGCGCCAATGTTGGCGCAAGTTGCGGCCTGCGGGTGCGCGCAGGCGGGACCAACCTCGTTCCAACCGCTCCTGCCGAGTAGTCCCACGGAAAGCCAGCCAATCCCTGATACAGCGGCTTGTCCAACATCCAAGAAGAAGTTGTTCTACGCACTGACCGACACAATCTCACTCCAGCTCTCGTGGACACAATGTACATGTCGTTGGTTGTTGTTTTGCTGAGGAAAATGCATCGGACCCACCTAGGATTCCCTTTCTTCTGGACGGTGATTTGTCCAAACACTGGCTCACCATAAGGAACCAATCGTCCATTGTAACGAGCATTTGTTGCCCGCTCATAGGCAGTGAGTCCTCCCACCGCCGCAAATCGATTTCGGGTCCACCCAGCATGAACAAAAGACCAGGCGAAAAGAGGATGATCAACACCAAAGTCCACGCCGACCCGCTCCCGAACCATGCTCATCATTGTGTTTGCTAGCCTCCTAATAACATCCACCGCTTTCTCCACTGCCCCATTTGAGGCGTGAGCCTCAATAGCAGGATTTCGAATGATGGTCCGCAGCCCCAATCGTTTCCTTGCCCCAGCCACAGCGGTTTGAAGTGATGTTGTGCTCGGCTCGTTGTCGCAACGAAGCTCTACTGTAGCATGCCCGAGTGAATGTATAAAGCGCATAAGTTCCACTCCCAGAAATCTGGTTGTACTCTTGGATTGGCACGGTATGGCGACTACTGACCCAGTGCTGCTATCATGCGCCACCAGACAACACAACAAATCTTCACCACTCTCACCCTCTGCTGGTTTGCCGTGTGCCTTCATCTCACCACTGTCTCTATCATACCCAGTGAAGCAAAAGTCGAAGGAAATGGATGGAACATCACGCGGTTCTTGCTGTGCTGCTTCACTCCTATCGGGCATCGCTCGCATGCTGATGCAATGGGGGCACCACGCAGCAAAAGGTAGGTGCGATCCCCCCTGTTTATCTCGGGGGGGGGGTGGGGGGGGTGGGGGGGGGTCGGGAAAAGAAAATTTTCCTGATGCGTTTTTTTTCCTGGCATGGGGGGGTATGCACGGGGGGGTTAGGGACCCTGTGTCTACGAGGGGTTGAGATTACCGAGCTGTTGATGATGACGATGGACAAACTTCTCTCTCTCTCTCTCTCTCTCTCTCTTTTTCTCTGTCTCTCTCGGTGTTTCCCTCTCGCTTGGATGTCCATGTCCGAGTCGAGTAGACCCCAACCTCAGCAGAACCAGACATCAGCTTCTTGGTGCAAGAGACGTGTCATTCCGGGGCAAACACCATGCTGGTGCTTGCCAACAGCCGTGGTGAAGCCACATCCATTCGGATGAAACCTCGGGGCACTGAGCATTCCGACATGAACAAATCAAGAGCAGGAGTATGAGCACTGCAAGCACTGCATATGCGACTTTTCTGTGCCCCTCGTCCGAGCCAAATCCCTGATCGGAGATTTTCTCCAATCTCGAAAAGCCCCAAAACCACTGAACCCCAGCGACGATTCCGCTCCGTGAACGACCACGAAAGCTCTGAATCGTCACTCGTGGTTTTTTTCACAGGGTCATGATGCCTTGCTCTCGGATACCTTCGGAATCTTGAAAGCTGAAGTCCTCATGTACTGCACTGCTGCCAGGGACGCCGGGGTCAAAAGGATGCGCAGCCTGCTTGCACTGATCGCCTGCCTCGACATTGCGAGCTCTCCCAGCACATCTTCCGCCTCGATCACCAATGGCTGAGAGGCACAAGATGTCTCGAACCAGCCGCCGTCCTTCTCTGAGAACTCCGTGCAATGCAAGACCCGAGTGGAGGACGATGGCAGTGCGATACTGCAAGGCCCTCCGCACTTGTAGGTCGCGGTGCCATTAGCACGTCTCACGACACTGCCGCGAAACACGGCTTGAACACAGCCCAGGACGACCCTCGGTGCAGAAGCATAGCATGCCTTGCCCTTGATCGCGAGAATCTGGTAAGTGCCATCCTCCTGGAATAAAGGGCTGAAGCTCGCTGGCTCGATGACGCCTTGGCCAGCTTTGGCAATGCCACTTTCGGCCACCTTCTTGGTGACATCGCGGATGGCTTTGGCCTGACTCTGCTGCCATGCAGTGCTTCGTGCCATTCGCATCTTGCACAAGCCCTGGGCCAAACGAGCTTTCGCAAGCTGATGCTGGCCGACATTCCAAGCATTGTCCTTGGCCTGACTCTGCGTGTCCAGCCATGCCCAGGAGAGCAGCCCCTCAGCCCCTCGAGTGTAGCTCATGAAGCTTCGCATGCCTGGCAGCATAGCCGAAACTCGTCGGACGATCGCCAGCTCGCCTGTCGCACTCGGCTCGCCCATGTCGAAGCAAGACAGCTTCTGCGACACTGCAATCCGCATGACATCTCTCAAGGTCTTGGGCTGCTTCTGGCCCTCCTGGAGAGATGGCTCCTGGCAGCTAGGACTCTAAACCCGGAACCCTTGACCCTTAAACACTTAAACCCCTAAACCCTTAACCCTCAACCCTCCACCAGAAACCCCTATCCCTGAACCCTAGAAGACTCCTCAGGCAGAGGCATCACTCCCTCGGTGTCATCGGGATCCGGCTGGACAAAGCCTCCATCCTCGCACACGGAATCGTCGAGGTTGTCTGTCGCCGTGGCCTCGATTTCTCCTCGCAGCTTTGCTCGCAGCAAAGCTCGATCCTCTATGGACTGCAGAAGCTGCTTGTCCTCTGCACCCGAAGCCTGCTTCTGCGGATTCTCGGGTCCCTCCTTCCCGGCCGTGAGCTCCTTCATCTCGTCCAATGTCAGCTCCTGGGCGGAGAGGTCCATCCAGTCCTCCATCTCCTCCTCTGGGAGTTCTCGCTGCGTAAGCAGCTTGTGACCAATCGCAGGGTACCATTTCCGCAGGTGCTCATACAGATCCTCGGGCCTGTCGTCCGGCATCAAGAAAGCCTGGAACTGCAAAGCAGCTGCCAAGCCCTCCTTGGCACACTCCAGGATCTCATCTGCACCCAGGGCTTCCCTGGACTCGGCACTGGTCCGGGCATCGAGCTCCGAAGGGTCAGCCACATGCTCCAAGCGGCGGGCCTGCTTTCCAGCTTCCAGGCGGAGGGCATGCACAGCATCTCGAATCGAGCCTTGCCCCCGGAAGTGGCTCTTGAGTCGCCCAAAATGATGTTCAATGGGCAGCTCCTGTACCAGTCTCGGTTCCAGTCCCGGAATCCTGGTGGATTGTATGCCGTGGGCACACAACGAGCAAAGGTTTCGCAGTGTGATGGTCGAGATGCTGTACAGGCCGGCGTCGTCGCCGAAGCGAGCCCGGTTGGTCATCATATGAAGGAGCAAGCCGTAGTAGAGGGAAAAAGCGTTGACGGCGTGTTCATGCTTGCTGAAGGCATGACTCGCCGTAGTGAAGCTGGCGAGCAATGCACCATACACGCCGTGCACGTGTGCCCCGAGTGCATCCTAAGCTGTGTAGGCCACGTTTTGTTGGGTACAATCCTAGGAGGAGCTATCCACACCGAAAAAGCAACGATATGGGTAGCAGTAGCAGTAGTAGTAGCAGTAGCAGTAGCAGTAGCAGTAGCAGTATTCAACCGGCCGAGCTTCGAAGGAGAGCGGCATGAACACATGCGACATGCGAGCTGCGGCGTGCTTGTCGCTCATCGTGTCAAAGAGGCAGTGGATCTGGTGCCCGATGTTTGCACGGACTTCTGGCGTCAGGCACACTGTCATGCAGCCGTAGGTGATGTAGCGAATCCCACTGCTGTGCTGGAGGCCGTATCTCTTCTGGCAGTGCCAGCCATCGGTGCAGCCTACTAGCAGATGTTGCTGCATGTAGCGGAGCTGCTTGTATGGAAAGCAAGGCAGCTGAGGGGCCATCGGCTCCACGACACAGTCGCGGAAGAAGGGGAAGTTCCGCAGCACATCCTCGGACTCCAACCCTGACTGACATCTGTTCAGCATGCTGTTCACACTGGCACCGTCGTGGCTGGCGCCGATGACCGGCACTCCGTTGTTGACTCGGGCACAGCTGTCAAGAGCACTCGCGACGAAGCGGAGGAGCGTCTGCGAGTCAGCTTGTCCTTGGGGTCTTGGTAGCACTGCTAAGTCGAAGACGTGGGCAGAGTTGTCCGCCCTGTGAAGGGCGAGGTGGAGAGTCAGCCGTGCCAGCCTTTCGGGCGGCAGGTCCGAGATCTGGCGGTCGCTCGCCTTGATGTATGAGAAGTCCTCGGCGGGGTCATCGCTGAACTCGCCCCCCACAATCCCGATCTCCTTCATCTCACCCGGCTTCTCCGCTCGCAGGCCTGAGACTTGTTCGTAGCAGGGTGCCCACACTGTTTCATCCACCAGCAAATGGCCCCGTCCTCCCTGAAGGCGAAGCAGGCTGATCGCTGTCTGAGCTGCCATGTCCACATCAGCCTGGCTTCGGAGACTGCAGAAGGCATTCGGCAGGGTGGCGGAGTGCAGAACCAGTCGCGGCAGCGACTGAGGGTTCACATGGAACCGCTGTACGAGAGCCTCCGCTTCGCTCCGAACACCCAACATCCCCAAAACCTCCGACAGCGCCTCTGGGTCGGAGTGTGCAGAGCTGTTCTTCCTCTTGCACCCAAGGCTCCGCCGATACTGCATGAGGAAGGTCGTGACCAACCCTGAGATGAGGGAGTCCTGCCGCAGCTCACCCGCTGCAACCTTGGCAGCGAGGACCAAGTCTGTGGACTGGACGTTCCCGGCTCCCACCTGATTGGCGAAGGCAGCTACGAGCGAGGAGTGTGCACGAGCTTCGTTGTCTCCCGAGTGGAACAGCTGGGGCTTCACCACATAGCGGTCGATGAAGTCCTGCATCTCGGTCGAGCGGCGGATCTTCGGGATGTTCTCGAACTTGTTCCAGACACTTCGTGCAATCTGCAGTTTGCAGGATAGGCCGCACAGCTCCTCGAAGTCCAGGCCCGCATGGCCCTGCCTGCGATAGTCAGCCTCCTTGATGCGGTTTGCTGCCTCTGCTGCCCCTTGCTCGGAGCCATAGAACAGCTGCCATGCCCACGATGCCAGGTCCAGCAGGTAAGCCTTCTTCAAGATGTGCTTCATCACGGCTTTGGTGCCGCAATGTTTCATGCAGATGGCGCATGCCACCTTCATCCGGGCATTGTGCCCGTCGATGCGGCCTTGGCAATGGGTCGCCCGGAGCTTGATGCCATCTGCAGTCTGAGCAAGGACCACCTCTTTCAGGGGGTCCGTCTCGCCCCGCTGGAAGACAGTTCTGGGGCATCCAGCTTGGAAGAAGGTTGTGATGCCGGCTCGCACCGAGTGGAGCGGACTTCTCTCCTCGAGGCCCAGCCCGTCACAGGGGCATCCGTCCGCCTCCACCACCTGAGCCGGAGCCTTATTCGCCCCAGATGCTTGAGGCTGCTGCGGCAGCCGCCCGCCGCTCTCCACCACCTGAGCCGGAGCCTCATTCGCCCCAGATGCTTGGGGCTGCTGCGGCAGCCGCCCGCCGCTCACATCCTGCAGCGGGATTGCCTTCTCCTCCGCATCTTGCTTCTGCTTCTGAAGCCGGGCCAATCCCTCGATGTGTTTGTGGCCTTTCTCGTGGACCGCAAGCTTGCTGTCGTTGGTGGAGACGAAAAAGTTCACTGATTTCTGGCATGCCAGGCAGTGGTAGGTGATCTTGCCTTTCAGGTAGCTGAAATCCGTGAGACGGTACACATCCCCCCGTTCCTTCTGTACGAAGCGATGCAAGTCGAAGCGGCTCTCGGCAGCTTCTTTGCGGGGTCGGCGGCCAGGAGTACGGACCCTGTCGCCTACGACGATGCTCCCGTGGTCCTGGTGCTCTGGCAGCTGCACCACCTGCTGCAAGGCTGCCAATGACTGCCGACTCGATTCCTCTGCAGCGGAGGCAAGAGCTTCTCGCAGCTCCTGACGAAGAGAGATGCACACCGTGCAGCCGAGCATCCTTTCTGGTGCTGCGACAGCCTCACAGAAAGACTGCCAGTGTCCTCCCTTCTCTGCCAGCGTTGTCTTGCCCTGCTCCAGCCGATGTCGTGCTTGGAATTCGCCGTGGGAGAGGTGGCCATGCATCAGCTCACGGCCTTCCAGCTGCAACTTCTTTGGTGTCTTGGCCTTGGCAGCAGGCTTAGGCTTTGCTGCAGCCTTGGATGCTGAGGATGCACTTGGCCCTTCCTTGACCTTCCTCTTGGTGCCCGCATAGACAATCCTGCCGCCAAGCTTGAGGTCCACGTCTTCAGCCTTTTTTGGAGGCGACAGGTCTCCCATGTGGCGGCTCGGAGACGACTTTCCCTGATCGGCGTTGTAAAGAGCCTCCAAACCTCTCACTCGGAAGTCGTTAAGGTCGCCCGAGGCTAGCACCCGGGGCAATGGCTCGCCGAGCGACACGTCTGCCAGGCACCGCTCAAAGGCCAGTGCGGACCGATGGCCACACGACCACGTGTCCACCTGACGTGGGACCTTGGCTGCTTCAACGGGCACCTGCTTCTCGAGGTACGTGGCCTCCACAAGGTGCTCCATCAGAGCGACGGCCATGTCTCGGCAGTGGCTGTCGTTTTTGCCGTCGTACAGCACAGCCGCGGAGGGATCCTGCTTGCGGACCATCAACAAAGCCCAATGCCCCCTCGACTGCAGCACAGCTGCTAAGTGTGGTGCTGCCATCTGCAGCTTCAGGCAATGTTTGGATTGCTCGGCGGAAGCCAGCAGCACTCCCACTTTGCTGGGCCAATCTGGTCCGAGGTTGAGGTTGGCGATGAAGATCAAACATCGCAGCACCTGCCCATAGTTCAGGGGCTGCTCGGGCTGCAATTTCTCAGGAGATGTCCCTTGCAGGAGGTGCTTCTCGATGACTGCCGTGCTATGCGATGCCGAAGATGATGCCGGACTAGGTTCCTCCTTGACTGGCTTCCCAACAGATCCCGAGGGAGCCGTGGATCTTGAGGCCTTCGCTGCAGATGAGGCAAGAACAGGAGAGCCAAGCTCTTCCTTCACCTTTTGCTGTGGCAACGTTGTAGTAGCCGAGGATCCTGAGGATGAGGCACGAACAGGAGAGCCAAGCTCCCCCTTGACCTTCTGCTGTGGCAAGGTTGTAGCCCTGGGGGGTGATGCGGACGAGGCAGGCTCCTTCTTGATCTTGATTCTCGGTGAGGCGACTTCGTTCTTCACCCCCCCTGCAGCGAAGTTGCCGCCGAACTCGCCGATGAGCTGCCCAAGGCTGCCGCACCATTCACTCTCCTCGTCTTGGCCAGTGGTCGCTCAGGACTTAGGCCGGGGCCGTCGATGCTGTCGATCCGGCGGCTGGCAGCAGGTCGCTCGGGAGTGCAGGGCTCCTGTTTGACGGCCACTGGCAAGAGGCCCGAGCCGCCCCACTCAGTCCAGGATCCACTTGGGAAGGGCTTCAAGTCAGTGCGGAGCCTGTACCATAGCACCTTCGCAGCAGGCTCTAGGCTTTCCACGTGCGTGGCAGCATCAAAATCATCTTCAATACCAGCGAGGAGCCAGCAGCTAACAGCTCGGCGCCAGCCGGAGCCCGAGGACTGCAGAACCCCAGCCACGTTCGTGGGCACGTAGAGCTGCCTCCTCTCGTTGGGTAGTGCTTCCCACTCCTGCACATTGTGGATCTCCAGGAAGCTGATGACGGCAGCTGCCTCATCCATGCAGGCACCTTGAAGGTCTTCGCGAGTAGGCTCATCCAGGAGTGGCAACAAGCTTGCCCAGACATCGGCCCCAGCCTTCATCCTTGGATGGCATGCAGGGATCGAGAGGGAGACTCTTGAATCAGGTCTCGTGGAAGTGAGATCTCAAACTTGCCAAGCGGCACAGCCCGTCGCAGACTCGTCCGGCCCCCAGACTCGCACCTTTCCTGGATCTTGTCCCTCAGAAGCAGATGTGGCCGCCGCACCCCACACTGCTGCAAGATGCCCACTGGCTCATCCTGCTCGTCCTCCAACTGAGACTCCTGCGTTTCAGAAGACTTACGGTACCCGACTCAGGAAAAAGGGCAGGGGTGCTGGCTCCTCCAGAGATTCCAGAGCCTCTCCCTTCTGCTCGGCCGTGGGATTGCTAGCCTTAGCAGGAGTCCGAGCTAGGAAGCATGCAGACATCGCCGAAGCCTTGTAAGTGCCAAGCAGCAGGGGCAACTGAAGGCTGTGGCTCCTGAAGCGAGACCCGATACAGGACCAATAGATTACAGGTTCCACGATCCGACACTGAGATGTGGGCAGCCAGTGCTTCTGGAGCTTCCTGCATCAGGCTATTGAAGGCTATATCCCGCAACCATTCCGGCTCGCATCGCGATCGGTCCTTGCTGTCGTTGTCGGCAGAAGCAGCCGGAGCTGCTGGCTCCTCCAGAGCCTCTCCCTTCTGCTCGGCCGGGGGATTGCTAGCCTTAGCAGGAGTCCGAGCTAGGAAGCAGATGCCGACATCGCCGAAGCCTTGTAAGTGCCAAGCAGCAGGAGCATCTGCAGGCCTTATGTCCTGTACCAGGAGATGGCGAAGAATACACAATGGTCCGATTCAACAAGGGCTAGGCCTCAGCTACCTTGGCTCGCTTCGGAGCTGGCTCCTGCAGGGCAGCACTCGAATGGAAACATCAGAGAACGACCACCGTCGCAATGACAGCCTGGGACGCACATGATGATGCACGGCCGCCGTCGCCCTTACTTCTGGCGTCAGTCCGTAGTGCTTCCGGCACCTTGCAGAGTGCAATGCAGATCAGACGGCTAATGCAAGCGAGCCTTTCCCACACAGTCCAACCTGTGCCACGTTCATCCGGAGAGCAAATGCATTGGCCTGAAGCAGAAACCAAGCAGTCACTTGCACATCTAGCACAACAAACCTTGCACGGAGCCTGAGTCGCCGAAGTAAATCTCCAAGACTCGCCCTTGTGGTTCTCGAAGATGTAGCCGACTCGGCGGGGAATCGTATGGGTTCGTCTGATGGGAGTCACATGCCCACGTCAAGGGAAGATTACTGCGGCCAAGGCACAGTCGTGTCGGCTGGACTTGCCATAGTTCCGGTAAGTCACCGTCCACATGGCGAAGCTCCAAGGACTAGGCTTTTCCTACGAGTTCTGCCACGGTTCCTGAATTGCCTGGGCAGCTACAATCGGACTTCTGCACCATTCCCCTGTTTTGCTTGAGTCACACAGACAGTGCGGGGCCATTGCAGCAACAGCCAAGAGACCGAAAGCTCAAAGGAACGTGAAGCCGGCTGGGTGCCCAGCGGTTGTTCTCTTCCACCGTCTGCTTGTGCGATACCCAGCCTCGGATAATGCACAGTGTCGAAGATAGCCCGCATATCCTGTTATGGACATGTGAACAAGTTCAAGCTGACGAGCATCCAACAAGGCATCACTGCTGTCTTGTTCCCCGCACTCGGCTGATCTCTCAGTCAAAACCTAGCACGACTAAAGCTCTGGGCCAACATCTTCAAGACCGTGCTGCTCTTGCCCCCGAGCTAGCATCCTTCTTCGAGGAAGTCTCCAGAGTCGCCGTGGTGCTCGTTGACCCCGCCGCTGATGTCCCCGAGCCAGCATCTGTCTTCGAGGAAGTCTCCAGTGCCTGCTTGATGCTCGGAGAGCCCGCCTTTGAAGAGCAACTGCCGGGTGAAGAGAACATGCTTGGAGACATCGCAGACCAGTCGGGTTTGAGGGCTCCGGGCTTCCCAGGCGGTGACACTGCGGGCTGCTTCGGCTGGGTAACACGACGTCGCTTCAATCGTGGGGCCGGCGGAGTTATTGCAGGCATCCCTGACCAGTCAGGAGACCATGTCGGTCTCGTGACACCGCTTCGGGGCGGCGTCAATGCCTCAGCATGATCAGCCGACATCGTGAAGGCCGTCCAGGCAATGACACAGCAAGTCACGGGAAGCTTCGAGCACAAAGGAGCTCGAACAGATCACATGCAATCAGCTGGGGGCACAAGCAGCACACTCAAGGTAAGAGGATGCAATCGAGATCAGTCGAGGGTTCCAGCCCCTGGTCCCGGCTTTCCGAGACCCTCGCAGCCGAAGCCAGCTCGGCACCAGAGCACGACAGGTCTTCGACCTGAGTCAATGGAAAGGCTGCAGGGCCAGATATTGTAAAAAAACATAGGGGGGTAGGTGGCCTACGTACTGCGTGGGCCAGAGCAGGAGGTGGGTTACCCCTGCCTTTTTTCCTAATTCCAGGGTTTTGGCGGCTGGGGCACGTGGTACGACTGCTACTCTTAGTATAAGGGATCCCAGTATTGCTCGGGTGCTACGTAGAGTACCCATGCAGCCTGCACTACATAGAGTATGTACTTTACAGGCCAGATATTGTACAAAACATAGGGGGGTAGGTGGCCTACGTACTGCGTGGGCCAGAGCAGGAGGTGGGTTACCCCTGCCTTTTTTCCTAATTCCAGGGTCCCGGCGACTGGGGCACATGGTACGACTATTACGACTGCTACTCTTAGTATAAGGGATCCCAGTATTGCTCGGGTGCTACGTAGAGTACCCGTACAGCCTGCACTACATAGAGTATGTACTTTACAGGCCAGATATTGTAAAAAAACATAGGGGGGTAGGTGGCCTACGCACTGCGTGGGCCAGAGCAGGAGGTGGGTTACCCCTGCTTTTTTTCCTAAATCCGGGGTCCCGGCGACTGGGGCACGTGGTACGACTGCCACTCTGAGTCTAGGGAATCCCAGTATTGCTCGGGTGTTATGTAAAGTACCCATACAGCCTGCACTACATAGGGTATGTACTTTACAGGCCAGATATTGTACAAAACATAGGGGGGTAGGTGGCCTACGTACTGCATGGGCCAGAGCAGGAGGTGGGTTACCCCTGCCTTTTTTCCTAATTCCAAGGGTCCCGGCGACTGGGGCACATGGTACGACTATTACGACTGCTACTCTTAGTATAAGGGATCCCAGTATTGCTCGGGTGCTACGTAGAGTACCCGTACAGCCTGCACTACATAGAGTATGTACTTTACAGGCCAGATATTGTAAAAAAACATAGGGGGGTAGGTGGCCTACGTACTGCGTGGGCCAGAGCAGGAGGTGGGTTACCCCTGCTTTTTTTCCTAAATCCGGGGTCCCGGCGACTGGGGCACGTGGTACGACTGCCACTCTGAGTCTAGGGAATCCCAGTATTGCTCGGGTGTTATGTAAAGTACCCATACAGCCTGCACTACATAGGGTATGTACTTTACAGGCCAGATATTGTACAAAACATAGGGGGGTAGGTGGCCTACGTACTGCATGGGCCAGAGCAGGAGGTGGGTTACCCCTGCCTTTTTTCCTAATTCCAAGGGTCCTGGCGGAGGATGCTTCTCGAGTGCCGGTGGGCCGTCCCTTGTGTCCTGTAAAGTATATACTCTATGTAGTGCAGGCTACGACAACCCCCGACCCCAGGCCTGCTCATCCTGATCATCCTGATCCGTCCGAGCCGATGCTCTGCGATCATCGAGGTCCTCACCGAAAGCGGGGCACAAGCCTGCCGACACACTGCTAGTCATTTGCGACCTCGGCTCCATCAGGACTCCTCCGAGGGGCCTGGCAGGGGAGTCACCAAGCCGAGGAGAGACAGCACTCAAGAACCGGCCTGCTCATCCTGATCCGTGCGAGCCGATGCTCGCCGATCATCAAGGTCCTCACCGAAAGCGGGGCACAAGCCTGCCAACACACTGCTAGCCACCCGCGACCTCGGCTCCATCAGGACTCCTCCGAGGGGCCTGGCAGAGTCACCAAGCCGAGGAGAGACAGAATGTGTGGCACCATCATGCACTCCCAGGCTCGCAGAGTTCCTTTTTGTCCGTCTCGAGAACCTCACCCCTCGTTGGAATGCTCTTTCCAGGCATTGGCTCTGCGTCCAGGGTCTGCTCCAGTTGTCTAGGCTATAACCTAGGCATAGGCCGGGTATCAGTGTACGAGGCCGAGTGTTGGACCTCCAGGAGGAAGAAGCAGACCCTAGACGGGTACTTCAAAACTCTCCGGCCTCCTGTTCCAGTGGCTGCTTGAACTGCTCATGCCGTGTGTGTTGCTGCTGTTGTTGATGTGGCTGTGTTGGTGGTGTAGCTGTGTTGGTGCTGTTGCTGCTGTGGCTGTAGCCGTGCCTGTTACTCCTCGTCACTGGCAACTGGCAGCTTTCGAAGCTAAGCGGTGTGCATTGTCAAGGCAGGCCGTAACCATTGAACCCCCCAAGCCCTCTAACCCCACAACCCTACCAGCCTGTACCAGCCTATAGCAGCCAATGCACGAGTTGCCGTGCATTGGCTCAGACAGATCTTATCCGGACCTCTTTCGCTTGCTACCGGACTCAGTCTTGGCCTTCTCAGTTGACTTCGCAGTGTCCGGCACGGCCTGAGATGATAGGTACCGGGCGGACTCACCGGGACGCCCAAGTGTACTTGCAACTGAACGACTACTTGGGCCTGCACTCCTGGAGCACGAATGGGATCAAATGGCGATCTTCCCGACCGCTTCACATCCTTGGTTTCGCTACCACTGCAAACCGAAGCCAGACCTCAGACGGGCTCTGCAAAGGCACCTGCTCTAGCTTCGCGGACTGCAGGCTGTGCTCGGACGGGGGAACCTGCTCCTTGGATCAGTTGCCACAAATTCAAGCCAGGCCTTGCGCAACCCCTAGCTTCCAGCTGCGATGCCTTCACGCCCATAGCAGCCGGTTCCTTGTCTGCCGCTGCTCCAGTGGGTGCAACCCAGGGCATAGCCTGGGATGGACAGAATGTACAGGTTGCCAAGGCCCCTCCAAACTTGATTTCTAGCAGTTTCTAGCCGTTGAAGAATGCAACCTGGGCTCCGTCCCTGGAGTCCATGGCACACCTGTGGCCTGTCTCGTCTCAGGCTCCTTCATCTTCGCCTTGGATCAAATGCAACGGGTGACGGAACCACCGATGCAGACTGCCAGCACCTCCAATAATGCAAGCTGGGCACTGCCTTGTCCTCCGCCTTGTTCTCCAGGGTGTCTGCGACCGCAGCTCGCCGCTTCAGCCAAGCGATCTCCTGGAGTCCCAGGGTTTGGATAAACGAGGGGACTTTGAGAAGACAGCCAGGGGGAAAGCATGTACAGCCATGTGCAATCCAGGCCTTGTGGCCTAAAGACTCCTCGCGGAGTCGTTGCAGATCACGGATCTCGTTCAGGAGGTTCTGGGAGACAAGACAAGCGGCTAGGGCCCGACACCATGATGCAAAGCCTCTCTCTAACTCCGGCCGCAAGGCCTTCTTGTCTGCGACCAGAGATGCCATCAACTCCTGAAGTCAGACACGAACCACTGCTACGACGCTACTGTGAGGATCTGCTACCCAAGGTGCCTTGTACTTCGGAGTGGATGCGATCTCCTGCTCGAGCTCGTGGATCTTGGTGTTGAGCTCCTGTCGACATCAACGTCCTACTCAACACCGCATGGCAAGGCCAAGCAAGGCCAATCAGGACACAG